GGTTCCCTCCTTCCTACCCACTCTCCCTCCACCCTCCCTGTTTCGCCACTAACACCACTGGTCCTGTAGGGCTCATCCGCCCTGGATTCCCTGTATTTTCAGTTCCTATCTGTACCAGTGTACCACAACTCGAATCTTATAGTTCAGTTAATTTATAAACTTGCTGCCATCAGTTTGGCTCTGACACACAGTGACTCTAGAAGAGTTTCTATGGCTGTACAGCTGCACTGGAACAGCTTCATCTTTCTCCCAGGAGAATGCTGATGGGTTTTGTTTTTGTTTGTTTTCTTTTTTGTTATTAATACACACATCTCCAACAGATTTGTTTTGGAAAGGCATGGATTGTGAGGAAAGAAGAAAAAAACGTGAGACAGGACAACGTACGGATATGTTGTAATAAACATAAATGTACGCCATTGTGCTAATTGCTTTATAACCACAACAAGCAAGTGCAGAGAAGGCCCTGGACCAAACAAAACTACAACAAAGGTTCAAAGATGGAGGTGATCCCTTAGCAAGGATGAAGAGTCCAGTCTCTGGGATTGGCATTAAGGCGGCAGTCCTTGGTTTTGGATGGGTACTGGGCATGGTTGAACCAGATCTGAACAGAAGGATGGCCCGTAGGCCCAGGCACAGCATGAACTACCATACTACCCATAACTACCATACTACCCATAACCACCCATAACTACCAACGTTTCTGCCACGATGCAGTGCCAAGTGGGGTTGTACTTCTTGTCACACTCCACCTTGATGTGGGCCGAAATGTCCTTCTCTATGCTGTATGTCTCCAGCACCTGAACAGCGTGGCCTTTCAGTTGCCGTGGTTACTGTAGAAGGGCTTAGACTGGCTCAAGCGCAGAGAGGAGCTGTCCCTACGCAAGCTGTGGGCGGCACATCTAACTGCTGGTGGGTTTCAAAGAGCCAACTCTGTGGTTAGCAGTCCATCACTTACCTGACAGCTACATGTAATTATCTAAGAAGACTGGTAGTCAGGTTTCCCCTATATCTGAAAGTATTTATATGCAACCTTTTATACGCTGAAATGTCATGAAGTGAGGAAGCAGTTATTATTAATTTACATGTGAAAACGTTCCGAGCATTCCCAGACTCCCAAATACCTAGTAAATCACGCCCCCCCACCCCACCAAAAAACACCCCCCCTAAAAAAGCTAAGATAACACTAAGACATTGTGCTCACAGCACAGGCCACAGCCATGGCAGCTTGATGCAGACTGTAGGTCCCAGGGAAGGAGTCGGGTGACTTTCTCTCGCTTAGGGTATACGCTGCCTCTTTAATGGCTCACTGCAAACCGAACACTCAACGGTAGTCTCACTTTTCATCTTTTCTTAGAGAAGCAAACATCTTCCTTAGATTTCTCTCAGTTAATGAAGAAGGTACTAGTGAAGGTCTTTCAAGAAGGGTGGAGTGGAGTAAAGCAACTTTCAAAAAGTAGGGAGTAACTTTTGGCTAGAAGAATGAACAAATCAGTCTTAGAAGAAACATAACCACAGTGCACCTCAGCTGCAAGTAGAGAGAGATTCTGACTATAATGGGGGGTGGGGGTGGGGCTTAGAGGGTCATGGAAACAAGGGAAACCTTCAATGAAATGGAGTGACTCAACTGATGCCAGCAATGAATTCAAACAGCAATAGTCGTGGGGAAGCTCAGGGCTGGGCCACATTCATTCTGTTATACACCCGATCAGTGGCAACTAACAATTTAAAAAAGAAAAGAAAAAATAAAAGACAACTCAAATAACAAAGTACAGCAACAAATAGTATACTGTATTTCAACCTCAGTAATCCTAAAGCATCAGAGGCTCAAATGTAACATATAGACACATATAGTCTTAACCGCATTGGAATTTTCCAATGCTACAAATGACATTCCTTGGTGTTGATCTTCTCTTCATTTGGCATCTATCTCACACATTTCACATGCCCCATGGGAGTCTGGGGTCAAAATATAACCTGAACTTGATGATTACTAGGTGTACTTATGTTCCAATTCACAGTGACCCTAGGTACAACAGAATAAAACATTGCCTGGTTCTATGCTACCCTTACAACTTATGTCTGAGCCCACTTGTGAAGCCACCATGTCAATCCAACTCATTGAAGATCTCCTTTTTATTGACCTTCTACTTTACCAAGCGTGATGCCCTTCTCTAGGCAATGGTCCCTCCCGATGGCATGTCCACAGTGTCTGAGACCAAGTCTTGCTCTCTTTGCTTCGAAGGAACAAGACAGATTTGTCCTTCTGGTAGTCGTGGTATATTTAATCTCGCTGGAGGAGCCCTGGTGGTGTAGTGGTTATGCACTCCTGGTTGCCAATTGGAAACCACCAGTAGCTCCCCCGGAGAAAGACTGGGTTTTCTAGGCTCGTACGCAGTTATAGTCTCAGAAACCCACAGGAGGCTGCTACTTGTCAGCAATGACTCAATGGCGGTGAGAGTTTGTTCCTTTTATTTTGTGGGGGTGCTAACGGGAGTGGCGCTGTTGGGTAAGCATTGGACTATTAACGGCAAGGTGGGTAGTTCAAACCCATTCCCTGCTTCTCAAAAGACTAGTCAAACTCTCTGTTATGCTAAAGATTTATAGCAGTTCTCAACCTGTGGGTCGTGACCGCTTTGGGGGGGTCAAATGACCCTTTCGCGGGGGTGGCCTGATTCATAACAGTAGCAAAATGACAGTGATGAAGTAGCAATGAAAATAATCTTTTTTTTTTTAATCGGCCTCCTCAGCCGATAGCTGCACAGAGGAGTCTGCATGCACTGCCATCGAGCCGCTGCTCACAAAGTACTTGGTGGAGGTGCCGTCCTCCGCACGGACGACCACCAGGCCGGGCTGTAGACCTGCAGCGTGGGCACGTGGGATGCCAGGATGCCAAAGGATCCCGTCAGTGTGGGCACCTCCACCTGGAGGATGTTGGCGCCGTTGAAGAACACCTGGGTGGGCGACGTGAAAGACAACTGCCCGGGACCCGAGGCAGGGGCCGGCGTGGGGGGGCAAGGAGGGGAAGCGGCGGCCTCAGCGTAGGTTCTGGCCAAGTGCATGAGGCGGCCCTGGCTAGCACGGCAGACAGCATGGGGCAGCGGGAAACGAGGTGCGGCAGGCCGAAAATAATGTTATGGTTGGAGGGCGGTCACCACAACATGAGGAACTGTATTAAAGGGTCGCGGCATTAGGAAGGTTGAGAACCACTGATTTACAGCCTCAGAAACCCTAGATGGGGTGCTTATAAGTCAAAATCAACTGGTTGGCAGTGTGTGTTCTTTTCTTCCAGTTTTCATCAATAGCAAATTCAAAGGCATCAATTCTTTTGTGTTTGTGTGTATAAACAGATGTTTTCTCTCTCTTTTAAAAAATGACAATGAATGTACATATTGGCAATGAATATACAAATGCGCTTTACACAATTGATGTATGTATGGATTGTGATGAGTTGTATGAGCCCCTAATAAAACGATTTAAAATGTTTATAAATCATTTTACTGGGGCTCTTACAGCTCTTATTAACAATCTATACATCAATTGTATCAAGCACATTTGCAGATATGTTGCAATTTCTAAGACTTTTTCTTTCCATCCTTGGCATCAGTCCCCACCCTCAAACCCCCAGCATCAATTCTTTTTTTTTTTTCTAGCATCAATTCTTAATGGGAATTTAGGTCTCCCTCTGGGAAAAAAAAATTTAAACATAGGTACCCAATACCATCTACTCAGATTATTAAATTCCTGACCAAACCATAAACTGGAGCTATTAGTAAAAATATTTTCTTTACTCCTGATATCCCTTCTGAATTATATCAAAAGTTGGCTCAAAATAGGTACTTTTATTTTTGTCAGTTATGTTCAGCTATCACTGTGCATTTTTTTAATGTCAAAATTTGCATTTATTGGATCTGTAGTCAATGCTCATAAAAGTAGCAAACAGTATGGGAAGTGTGCCCGGTCTGACACTCCCCCACCCCCCACTTGAGAGAAAGACGAAGGGGGTGCAACAGAGCAGCAAGGTAAGCAAAGCAATGAAGTATGTGAGGAATCCCAACAAATAGACCTTGGAATCGGTGGGCAGGGTGTGACACTTCACCAGATCCAACTTGAAAACATTCAGAAGAGTCAGCAGACAGACCCGGAACTATTTATAGGATCCCCCGCTCCCTGCACCTCTTTTTCCTTTTTAAATTTCTTTTTCTCATGGCTATCTCTATAGGATAGGTGGGATAACCAATTCCGAGGAGAAAACAACGGACCTACGGCTCTGGGGTTACATGGGAGAGGAAGAGGTGGAAGAAAGGGAGGGGGCGGAGCCAACAAACCCAGGGACAAGGGAACAACAAGAGATCTAAAATCGATGGTGAGGTAGGCGTGGAATGCCTGGTGGGTTTGATCAAGACCAATGTATCCTAGAGAAAGTACTGAGAGTCAAATGAAGGTAGAACATGATAGTGGGACAAGAGGAAAGTAAAAAGAAATAGAGGAAAGAACTAGGAGGGAAAAGTCATTTATAGAGTGATAAATATAGGCATGTACATATGTAATATATCAATATATAATGATAGAAATATTTAACATCTATTTAAATGTTAAATATTTCTATCATTATATATTGATATATTACTTATGTATATGTACATATATTTAAATGTTAAATATTAAGGTAGCACAGGCATTGGGTCTCTACTCAAGTACTCCCTCAGCACAAGAATACTTTGTTCTAATAACCTGGCATTTTGTGATACTCACCTTCCCAAGATGATTGCTGAAGTCATAACGTGTGCATAACCAAATGTGGTGAAGTACCTGATGGTGCCCCACTATTAAAAGATATATCGTCTCGGGTCTTAAAGGCTTGAAGTTAAACAAGCGGCCATCCAGCAGGGAAGCAAAAAAGTCCATATGGAAGAAGCACACCAACCTGTGTGATCATGAGGTGTCCATGGGATCAGGTATCAGAAGACCCAAAACAAACAAATATACTAATGCAAATGATGGATAGAGACCCAAAGCCCAACTGTAGACAACTGGACATTCCCTCCCAGAAGGGTCACAAGGAAAGAACGAGACAGCCAGGGTACAGCACAGCACTGAGGGAACATATAACATTCCTCTAATTCTTTAATGCTTCCTCCTCCCCACAATCATGACCCCAGTTCTACCTTACAAATCTGGCTAAACCAGAGCACGTACAGTGGTACAGATAAAAGCCCTTGACACTTGGGGCCAGGGCATGGTACCCTATCAGACTTGACCAGAAAACACTATTAAAGGTCAACAAACAGATCTGGAACTATTTATAGGCTTCTCTTTTTTAATTGTTACTTTTCTTATCTTTTGTTATTTTGTTTGGCTTTGTCTTGTTTTTTTGTGATTATTGTTTCTGCATGTCTATCTAGATAAGATAGGTGGGATAAACAATCCAGAGGAGAAAAAAACAGCACCACCAGTTCCTGGGGAACACGGGAGAGGGGGAGGCGGGGGATAGGAATAGGGATGCCAACAAACCCAGGGACAAGGGAATACAAGTGATCTAAAATTGATGGCAAGGAGGGCATAGGATGCCTGGTGAGGCTTGATCAAGGGCAATATAGCTGGGGGAAACTACCGAAATCTGAATGAAGGCCAAATATGTAAGTGGGACATGAGGAAAGTAAAAGGAAATAGAGGAAAGAACAATGGGACAAAGGACATTTATACAGGTCTAACTACAGGTGTGTACATATGTAAATATATTTATATATAATAGGGAAAAAGATCTATGTACATATATTTACATGTTAAGTATTAAGGTAGCAAACGGACATTGGGCCTCTAACTCAAGTACTTCCTCAATGCAAGAACACTTTGTTCTAATAGCCTGGCATTTTGTGATGCTCACCTTCCTGACATGATCGCTGAAGACAAAATAGGTGCATAAGCAAATATGGTGAAAAAGCTGATGGTGCCCAGCTATCAAAAGATATAGTGTCTGGGGTCTTAGAGATAAAGGCTTAGAGATAAACAAGTGACCATCTAGCTGAGAAGTAACAAAGCCCACATGGAAGAAGCACACCAGCCTGTGTGATCATCAGGTGTCCCATGGGATCAGGTATCAAGCATCAAAGACCCAGAACAAAAAAGCATATCAATGTGAATGAGAGGGAGGACAGAGTGGAGACCCCATGCCCATCTGGAGACAACTGGAATCCCTTCACAGAAGGGTCACAAGGAAGAGATGAGTCAATCAGGGTGCAGTATAAGCACCAATGAAACATACAACTTTCCTCTAGTTCTTTAATGCTTACTCCCTGCCACTATCATGATCTCAATTCTACTTTACAAATCTCGCTAGACCAGAGCATAGACACTAGTACAGATAAGAGTTCAAAACACAGGGAATCCAGGACAGATAAACCCTTCAGGCCCAATAATGAAAGTAGAGATACCAGGAGGGTAAGGGGAAGGTGGGTTACCGATCACAATGATCAACATATAACCCCCTCCCAGGGGTACAAACAACAGAAAAGTGGGTGAAGGGAGACAGTGATTGGTGTAAGACATGAAAAAAAAATTATCAAGGGTTCATGAGGGAGGGAGGGTGGGGGAGAGGGAAAATAAGCTGATACCAAGGGCTCATGTGGAAAGAAAATGTTTTGAAAATGATGATGGCAACATATGTACAAATGTGCTTGACATAAGGATGTATATATGGCTTGTGATAAGAGCTGTTGGAACCCCCAATAAATGATTAAAAAATAAAAAGCCCTCAACACGTGGAATCCAGTACAGATAAAACCCTCAGGAACAGTTATGGGAGTAGCGATACCAAGAGCGTAGTAGGGGAAAGGTTAGCAGACAAACGGGGAATCTGTAAGAGCACCCAGTAAAATGATTTATTAATAATAATAAAAAATAGCAGTCAAGGCTAGACCAGAGGAGGTACACTGGTACAGATAGGAACTGAAAATACAGGGAATCCAGGATGGATGAGCCCTATAGGACCAGTGGTGTGAGTGGCAAAACAGGGAGGGTAGAGGGAGAATGTGTAGGGAAGAGGGAACCGATTACATGGAACTGTGTGTGACCTCCTCCCTGGGGGACAGACAACCGAAAAGTGGGTGAAGGGAGACGTCGGACAGGGCAAGATATGACAAAATACCCATTTATAAACTATCAAGGGCTCATGTGGGAGGGGGGAGCGGGGAGGGAGGGGAAAAATGAGGACCTAATGTCGGGGGTTTAAATGGAGAGAAAATGTTTTGAGAAATGATGTACAAATACGCTTTACACAATTGATGTGTGTATGGATTGGGATAACAGTTGTATGAGCCCCTAATAAAATGTTTAAAAATAAATAAATAAAAAGTTCTAAGAAAAAAAAAAATAGCAGTCAAGAAATCAAAGGTTATTATCATTGTGTTTTATTTGCCATGAATACAATATTCTGGTGTTATATTTCAAATCTCATATTTGGTAATATCCTGTGCTATTATGAAAGTATTTAATAGTATTCTAATAATATTTAATAAGACTACTAAATACTATTTTGATAATACAAGATGACATTTAATAAATTAAATAATGTTTAATAAACCAAACATTAACACTGAATAATAATAATAAATAATCATGAATTTAGTCACAGATGTGTGAATCTGGAAAAGATTGTTCCTAAGAACCACTCAAACCTCATGGAACCTCATCTTCTCACCCTGACCCAATGGCAGAAGCCAAAGTGCCTGAGATGTAGACTGCTGACCCAAAATGATTTTGGAGTTAGTGAAAGACTACAAAGAGAAATACAAACAGTATTAATTATCCAAGAATTCTAATTATTACTAATGTAATGCTGGTATAGATACTACAGTTCATTTTCTTCTCTAAATTTACAGTGGGATGAATTTGGTTTGTGTAACAATGGCAATGCATAAAAATTCTATCGATGACAACTATCTAATTAAAACACTAGAGATCATTTCAAGTTTGGTGAATGAATTAATGATGCAAAGCCCAGAAATTAGTATACAAAATAATGCATTTCTATTTCTTTCATTTTATAGTCTAAGATAAAGTATATTCTGAAATAGAGATATAATGTGAAAACTCACATCGCTGTGACATTAAGAGTAATTTGAATTAATTTTGCAATATATATAAAATAAGGACTACATGGAAGAAGGTTCTACTTTACTAATACCTTCTATACCATTTCCGGTATGCGGAGAAACTAAATATTTCTTTTGTAGCAATTCTTTTCTTTGTTTTTTTTTTTTTTTTTTGCTTTTTTTGGTGACCCTGACGTGATTGTAGCAATTCTTTTAAAAAAATATTTTTACCACGGTGTGGGTGAACATTTTCATATAAACATTAAAGGAAAATAATTCGAAGTATTTCATTTAAGTAAGCTATGCTTGTTTAATTCTATGCAAAACAATTAGAACAGGTCATTTAAAACAGGCTTTATTAGATAAAATATTTCAGTTAATGATTAAACAATTTTCTTACCCTTTCTTGAAATATAAATGTCATTTCTTCATTTGTAGAATTCTGTTGAAAATATAAGCCTTTCATAGTGACCTAAACATGAAACAAACAAAATGTGTTCTAGGTCAATGGGATGAACACATGAACAACTGCTGGGAAGGGGGAAAAGGAGAAGTACAAATGCATTATTTTTCAAACAAACAGGGTTCTTTCTGAGGGGAATCAAGTAAGAGAACATACAATAATCTCTGTATGCAAATGAACTTACACTTCAGCCTTCCACTACAAAGACAAGCAGAACTCGAATTTAACTTTCACATTCAATACAAAAATATTAGATGTACTAAGGGAAAGATGAACTTTCAAGGGCTCAGAAGTGTTTATTTCAAAACGCGTCATTTTAAGAGCTTTAAAAAGACTCACAGATGACCACTAACAAGGAAACTGGACATTCAAGACTTGTTGAAAGGTTGCCCTCCATTCCTCTGACTCTTCACAAACCACTTCGTGAACCAGAGGTGAACTTCGTTACACCTCTCTTATTCCATAGTTGTTTCTTTGATATTCACAGTCATTCAAGGGGCAAGACTATATTAAAATTTTTTACTTCTTAATTGTGAATTGGGTAAAAGTTTAAAGGGCAGATCATCAGTTTTACATTCAACAATTCATACACACTTTATCTTTCTTTGAATTCCGCTCAGTGTAGACGTAAGGCTGGGTTATTCAGAGAAGCAAAACCAGCGCCACTCATATACGTACACGATTTCCTACGAAGAGAGGTGAAAGCAAATCAGGGAGATCACAGGCTGGTGGTGGGTGCAGAGATGCATGGATCCAAAGTCAGTAGAAACATGGCAGGGCACAGACAGCTCAGAGGTTGGCTCCCTTGGTCAACGGTCAACGGTCAACGACCAACTATGGAGGTAGTCCCAGAGTCCCAGTAAGCAAGGAGCATGATGTGGCATTGAAAGACATTCTGTCTCTCATAAAAAGATCACACCTCCCGAGAGGCGTCATCAGGCTGTGACCTAAATGCAGGACTCCACCCCTACATTTTTACACAGGTCCAAGTTGACATAAAGCCTGACTGCCACAGTGTAACATCATTTATTCCACTTATTGTTTCTTGTTTCCATTCTTCCTCCTCTTCCTTTCCTAAGCCTTTAAAGCTTTTCCCTGAGTAAATGTTCCCCTTGTAACCTCAAATGATTACTCTATGGTATGTCTATATCACTAGTGTTATTGTCCCCTTTACAGACCTATCATATGGCTGAAAATTGAGTCACAGAGTTAATTTCAGACATTGAAGGGTGAACGCCAATAAGCCTGGGCATTTTTCATGGTTTTGAGTTTTACTCCACATTTTCATCCTACTCTCTCCAGGCCCTAATGTGAACCCTTTGAGAGCAGTTGGTAGTGGTACCAGGCACCACATAGTTCTTCTAGCCCCCAGTTGTGAAGACTGAGGTTGGAATTGCCCATGAGTCCATACTACATGTTTCCATGTGTCTTGGAGCTTCATCACTCTTCTTTCCTTGGGCACAGTGGATTATGCACGGGACTGCTAACTACCAAACCAGTAGTTCAAACTCAGGAGGTTTTCTCCCTTACAATTTCTTAGTGGTCAGTGAAAGATATGAAAATAATAATTTATAAATTATCAAGGGTTCATGAGGGAGGAAGGAAAAAAATGAGGAACTGATAACAAGGGCTCAAGTAAAAAGAAAATGCTTGAAAAGGATGATGGCAACCTATTTACAAATGTGCTTGACACAATGGATGTATGGATTGTTATAAGAGCTGTTGAAAAAAAAATAGCTGTAAGAGCCCCCAATAATTAAAAAGAAAAGAAAAGAAAAGAAAAGATTTCCGGCCTTGGAAACCCAAAAGGGCAGTTCTACCCTGTTCTATATCTAGGGTTGCTATGCGTCAGAATGAACTCAACGGCAGTGAGCTTGGCTTTGCTTCTTCCTCCCAAAAAGGATAGACTGATAGTTGCACCTTAGACGAGTGGTGAGGCGCTCTAAAGACTCCAGTGGCTACTACCAAAGTAGGGCGGAAAATGTTATTTTTGTGGACATTATGCCAGTTGATGGCAAGATCATTTTTAAACGTCAGTTTTGTAGAAGTAGAAAATACATATAGGAAAGCATAAATCCTAAATATACAACTTGTTGACTTTCATAAATTAAATATGCCTATGTGACCTGCAACCTGATCAGTAAACATAAGCAGCCCTCTAAAATCCTTTTGACTTTTTGTCACTACCTCCATTCCCCCAGGGCAACCAACATCCTGCCCTAACAGCACAGGTTTGCTTACCCTGTTTTGTAACTCGATCTTCGGATGATTTTTCACTAAATATTACTTATGTGCATTTCAACTATATTGTTCCTTATAGTTCATTAGTTTCTATTGCTATATAGTATTCCTATAAACCAAACTCACTGCCATCAGTCATGGCGACTCATACTGACCCTAAAGGACAGGGCAGGACTGCCACTGTGGGTTTCCAACACTGTAACTCTATGCGAATGGAAAACCCCATCTTTCTCCCATTGTAGAAGTAGCTAGTTTACTTACTGTATATACTTGAGTATAAGCCGACCTGAGTATTAGCCGAGGCATCTAATTTTACCACAAAAACGGCATAAAAAATGCTGAAAACCGGATTACACTCGAGTATATGTGGTATCCATTTCATGGACGAATGAATTATTTTGCTTCTTTTCCATTTGTATGAGTTTCCTAGGGCCGCCATGACCAATAACCACAAACAAGGTAGCTTAAAACAGAGATTTATTTTCTTAAAATTCAGAAGGCCAAAAGTGGGAAATTAAGATGCGGCAGGGTTGGTTGGTTCCCTCTGGAGGCTCAGAGGGAAACACCATTCCATGCCTCTCTCCGTGTTTCTGTGGTTGTTCAATAAACCTGGGCATTGTGTAGAAACATCATTCTAATCTCTGCCTCCATCTTCATATTGCCTTCTTTGTCTCACTGGATTTGGGACTCATCCTAATCCAGAATGGTCTCAGCTTTATCCTCATTTTAATTACATCTGCAAAAATGCGATTTCCAATTAAGATCACATTCTTTGGTTCCAGGATGTTATGGTCAGGGATTAGGTCAACTAGATACTCTTGGGTAAGGATAGGCACAGAGCTCAACCTATTAATTGTGTCACAGCCAGATCACACCTCATTGGGGTCATAAGCCTTTTTGTATAAGTGAGAGGGAGATCAAGGAGAGAGAGGACTCCTCTTTGGTCCTTTGTCTTCTATTGGAGCTGGTTCTCGCAGACTGGCTCCTCGATTTCTTGTTGCACCTTCTGCTGATCCGAGGAGCCACCAGCAGACTACAGATGGTGGATTAATTTGGCCAATTTTAGACCTGTGTGTCCACCAGCCTGTGCCCCTGATGTCTCTGCTTCCTCATCCTGCTTCCCGTTCATCAGCTTCCACAAGCCAAGAGAAGCCTCATTTGAACTTGACTTAACTATTTTTACAACTGTAAGTCATTTCTTGATATTAATCTTTCTATAAATGAACACACAAACATCACTGGTTTTGCTTCTCTAGAAAACCCAATTTAACACAAGGTGGACACAATGTAACTCACGAGGAGCCCTGGTGATGGTTAAGCACAATGGTTAAGCACTCACTTGCTAATTGGCGAGTAGGTGGCTTAAGAGTTAAATTCAACTTGCTCTATTCAACTCATTATAGAGCTTTTACAAATTGTCCTGATAAGAATATTCTTGCGCATGATCTCTCTAGTGAGGGTCTGAGTTTTATAGCGGTTAAGGCAGACACTTGGGATCTCCTAGCGCCATTAGGACTAGAGCTAAGACATAAATGAGGTCGGAATTATTTCAAAGCCATTATTATTATTTTTTTGAATTCTCAACAGCTTTACTGGTGTATAACTCATAAATCATGTAATAGCTCAGCCACATCACAAAGAGTTTTACACGCATCGCCACAATCAGTTTTACGTTTTATTCATTATTCTACTCATTGTTATTAGCTCCCCATTTCCCCACAACCACCCTTGCCATGCCCCTAAGGAGCTATTAATCCAGTTACAGCCTCTATAGACTTACCTATCAAACTCATTATTTTCAATGTTACATTGGTTTCCAAACAAGCTACTAACATCTTTAAAATTGGAATTCTTTATCTGTAGGGTTAAGCTTAATAATTATTAGGTACTTATTGATCGATCAAGGAGCCCCAGTGATGTAGTGGGTTACATGTTAGGTTGCTAACCTTTAGGTCTGCAGTTCAAATCTACCAACTGCTCCACAGGAGAAAGATGAGGCTTTCTGCTCCCCCAAAAGATTTATATCCTTGGAAACCCACAGAGGCAGTTTTACTCTGTCCTTCAGGGTCTCTATGAATCAGAACTAACCTGATGACACTGAGCAATTGATAGATCTATACACAGTATGTAGGGTCCAATGCAGACATGATAGCGGTTAAAAGCTTGGCTACAAACCGAAAGGCCGGTGGTTCAAATGAACCCACTGATCCACGAGAGTAAGATATGGCAGTCTGCTTCCAAGAGACTTAGCACCTGGGGAGCCCTGTGGGGCAATTTTACTCAATTCTATAGGGTTGCTGTGAATTGGAATGGACTTGATGTCAAAGGGTTTTCATGCAAAATGAAAAATATGGTGAATCATGCTAAAATTTTTTAAAGTTTTAGGATGGTAACAGTAGAGCATTACACAAAGCGCAGGCTTTGTCCCTTCTGAGCAGGAGGCCCAGTGTAACTGTACAGGCTGCACACTTATACAGCCATCTGCGTGGTCAAAGTTACTGTATCTTATGAATCCACATGGAGAGTTTTTATTGAATGTTAGCTGAGCCATAGCTGATGCTTTCTAGGATGTTACCACTGAATGCTGGAACAGAAATGAATACATAATCAAGACAGAATTTGTATATGTGACATCTATAAGCAATGTATATAGAAAGAGTGAGCTAAGTTAAAAGAGGAAATCAGTTCTGGCACTCACTAACCCTTTGGTTATAGAAGGTTAGTCTGTCAGTGTGGGTGGGAGAAGCTGGGATGAGGGAGTGGAAGGT